TCTCATTTTGATGGGATAGACAGGATAGGTAAACTAGGTTTTAGTTATTCAATGCTATGTAACTTAAGGAATAACTGATGAGACAGTAACTGCATTGTCACCAATAAATAGAGTGATTTTTATTTGATTCTGAAAGAATAGTAAGGCTAACAGCTGCTAGTAGTTWTCAAGCTCTTTGGTTTACTACTTGGTAATTTTCTTTTCACAGTCAAGAGATTATCATTCTAGGTATTTATTGCCAACATAATAGCAGACATGTTCATAAGTCTTAAGCTTGCATTGCTTCACATTTCATCAATACATAAAGGTAACATATTATTAATATATTGTAGAACTTTTTTGCATTAAAAGTCATGACTCATTTATACTTCATACATTGTGGCAGTGAATAAATTTTTCATTACAGAAAATATCACCATTTTAGGATCAAAATAAATATTTTTAACAGGGTTTTTTCAAGACAACACAATCAAAATTGCTTATTTTTGATAAAAAGCTAGACCTTTATGTTTCTTGTTCATTATGTCGTGATGGCTACTATGTATCTTGCATGTTTTGCAACAACAACTCTGATAGGTATTATTAAACTTAGTTATTTATTTGATTATGAGTGACTGAAATTTACTAAATACCCACAAACAGTAAAGATTTGCTCTGCGAGGTGAACCATGGACAAGCGTACTTCATTGTCAAGAATATGGTATCTCTTGATCCTCTGGATTGCTCTTTCGACATGAATCCTTGCCTCTGCTATTTTCTCTGATCTTTAGCCCCCTGATTTCTTCAGCTGTGATCTACCTTGTCCTTTAAAATCTGGTATAGTTACACGTACACCACTTTCCCCTAAAACATCTCCAATATCAAACCCTCTATCTGCCATCACCTCATCTCCTTCCTGCAATGTTGCAATAAAATGCATACTACTAGCTGTTATATGTTTGTCTGAAACCGTACCCCCCCATCCCCGTGAAATGTAAATGATTGCAGCACAAGCATTGATTGCTACCAAAAACTTAAATGTTGCATGAGATTTATAGTTAGAATAAATCTCCTTGTTAGCTTTTAACGAGGATGGTTTCTGCGTAAAGATTTCTGTGCAGTCCACAATGACCTTCAAATCTGGGAATCCTGCAAACTGTTCTGGCTTTCCAAGCTCTTCGCAATACTCAGGCATTTGGCAAAGATCTTTGAGATGAAAGTATAGTAAGTTGATCCATGTTGTAAAAATTCTACTGATTGTAGATTCGCTTACTCCAAATCGAAGGGCTAAGTCTGTCAGTGTTAATGTATGATTTACTTTGCGAATCATCAGATTTAACTCCACCAACAAAGTGTGCAGAACACAAGCGAGTGTTGTCAGAAGGCTCCCAGTGTTCGCGTCTAATTCTTTGAATCCAAGCTTTTCTTCGCGAAGAATCTTTAGGAATCCTGTAGAACTGTAATTCTGGGTTTCTTTTGCGGTTGTTTGAGCAGCCGATGGCATAGCAAAAGTCATTTTTCACTATTTTAAGCTAGCGAATGTCACGCCACGAAAACAAAATGGCGGCGAGGGAATCACAGTTACCCCCCAAGGCGCAAAGGATTATGGGTCATGTACAAGTATTTACACACTCAGTGATGTTGGCGTTTCAAGCAATCTGATTGGTTCGCCATCTCGGGCTAATCAACAATGTACACCTCCGAGCGAGTGGATAATATGAAAAACAAAATGGCGGGCGTAAACTCGCGTTTCGCTTAAGTTTCAGAAGCAGAAATTGCCTTTAAATGGCTTCCTTTTAATTTTGTCGAGATCACTTCGTGTGTATATACTAAAACAATTATTCTTTTCAATCCCGGTGAATAGTGGCTTTCGGGAATATTTAGCCACTATTCACCTCGATTTCATAGAATAACTGTTACGTAGAGGTTAAATCAAGGAAAGTTCGCTAAAAAATTTCTATGGCTGTTCCCTTCATCTTCGTCAATCTCAAGTTTTTTTTTTTCAATTCGGCAGAATTTTAGCTCAACAGACAACACTATAGCCGCAAGGACCTACGCTTGCAACGGCAAACAAAAATCCTGAATAGTATTGCCACTATAAAGCTCTTTTCATCATGGTACTGGTTAGAAAGATCCTCAAGATGAAATTTCTATCGTCTTGTACCTCTAGCCGGTAGGATCTCGGGAGGCTTATAAGATACTACCGGTTAGAGGTACAGCCTGCATATTTAGTCGACTTTGCTCAATTTTTCGCTACGGCTTGTTTCACATATGAAGGTAGATCCTGGACAAAATGTTCGATTCGTCGTTTCGTTATGGCGTTTCGTCGTTTCGTTATGTCGAGTCGTTGTTTTCCGAGTTCGACTCGTCGAACTTTCAGTTCGTTTCGTCGTATTGTAAGTTCGATTCGTCGGCTGGCCTTTTCGACTCGTCGTCGACCACATCGGTTCGTCGTTTTGTCCGTTTCGTCATTTTGTCATGGCTTTTCGTCGTTTCACAGGGAGCCCATACAATCTGTTTGTGTAGCCGACAGTTGTTTTATAGTGAATGTACCTGATTTACCGTTTGCCATACCTATAGTGTCCCTCCCGCTTCCTGTACATTTATTTATCTATTTATTTTTTGCATTACTATGTGAATTGACAGGTCGGTTCGTTGCTATGGGCCAGGGGCCAGTGTTTTTCAACAGCGAGTCGAGTTGAGTTTTGGAGTATCGCGAGCGAATAAAGTGATTAAAATATACAAATATCGAACCAGCCGAGTACAATTGTCGTTCGCCAACGACATATAGTGATATATTGCTGACTATGTACATAAATCATTGATAAATAAACGTTGAAATACTTTACTTGTGGTGTATAGTCGTCCTTTTGCCTCAAAAATGTTTTTTTGAGCGATTTTGAATAAGTCTGAGTTCTTCGTCAATGTAATGCATAAAAGACAGACTGAGGTGGAAGCCTTGCTTTGAAAGGGTTCAAGCGCCCGAGCGATTTCCCCCCCGAAAATCGCATCGCTCCGCTTTCAAACTTGGCAGCATTAAGGTCAAAAGATGCACGATTCTCCTCGTACCTTCCAATCGAAAATCTATCCGAACGGACCGGAGCTAGCCCTCGAAGAAAATAAAAATCCGACAGTATTTGAGCGCCTGGGATGCGTAGCAAGATTCTCATGTGCCAGCCAGAAACCGTCACGCAACGACTCGACTAGAAGTAACGGAGTGCGGAAACGACGAATCGAACATTTTGTCCAGGATCTACCTTCATATTCACATTTCACTTGTTTGCACACTTAATAGGCCTTTTGCAGGAGTTGACCACGTGACCGATCACCCCATAGCAACGTCATGCTGACTTGCAAGCTTTTTTCCGTATTGCATGACAACCAGCTATTTTTTCTAAAGGACGCTTTTAATGAACCTTTTTCGAAAATTATATCAAAAAGTTCTATCACTAAGAAGTATGAAGCCTCAATCAGGGTAACTCAGCCTCTGGTAAAGCAGATAGAGGCTCAGGCACTCGAGCTCCCGGATGATGATGACATACGGAAAATGCAGCAGTACAACCAAAGGGAGGATGAAAAACATCTTGGAGAAAGGCTAGAGGAAGTAAAGAGTGTACTCCCTGATAATGCCAGGAGAGGCGCTATCCTTGCTACAGAAAAAGGCGCGTCTAGCTGGTTAACAGTTATCCCGTTAAAGGATATGAACTTTACTTTAAACAAGAGAGAGTTCAGGGATGCTGTTCATTTCCGCTATGACTGGCACATAGCTGACACGCCCTCCACTTGTATTTGCGAAGATACTTTTACGGTGGATCATGCCATGGTGTGTAAACAAGGAGGATTCATCATCCAGAGGCATAACGAGCTGCGTGATCTTGAGGCCGATTTGCTAAACACTGTTTGCCACCATGTGCAAGTGGAACCCATTCTCCAGGAGATAACGGGAGAAGTGCTGACGAGAGGTACGAACTCGGCACCGGATGCCCGATTGGATGTCCACGTTCGTGGGTTCTGGGATAGGCAAGGCTCTGTCATTTTTGACGTGAGGGTTTTTCACCCAAACGCAGATTCTTACAAAGATCTCACCATCCAACAGATTTATCGCAAACATGAAGATGAGAAGGAGAGGTTATACGCGAACAGGGTTTTGGAAGTTGAACGAGGGACTTTTACACCTTTAGTCTTCACTACTACCAGAGGCATAGCAGACGAATGCAAGCGTTTCCACAGCGATAGCATTGGGTGAAAAATTCTACTGCGAAATCATTCCCCGAAAAGATGAATCTTCGCACAGAAAGCGAAACAAGTTACGGTTCAATTCCTAAAGCAGGAAACTTCAATTTTTTTTTCTTTCCTTTTCTACCCTTTTCTTTATTTTGGATTCTTTATTTTTTCCTATTTCGTAGCCTGTTAATAAATAGTCGTTACATTGGGTTTGAAGAATGGTCATCTGGGTAAGCGAACGTGGGTTCACATGTCTGATATGTAAGGAAAATTTAACGAATCTTGCATTCTAGACAAGTTCCTTGCAGCTTATCAGGGAGAGAAATGACCATGTAAGCAGTCCTCGCCAGCTGGTTCGACTCCTGACCAAGGTAAATTGACAAATTTTTTTTTTTTTTTTTTACGTTATTTTTTTTTTATTGCATTTTCAGAATTGGGTTGTTTTGCCCGCTTTATAGTTAGTTGATAAATGTTGTAAAATGTATTTGTATGCGACTCTCTTTTTTCGAAATGAGTGACATTTCTAGTTCATTGCAAGTTTACTTTTTTTTTTTTCCTCTCTAAAATTGAGGAACTACATCGCAACAAGGCTGAATTTAAACACAACTACATGAAACTGCAGAGTTATCATGAAAACGCCATGCTTAAGTCAAAACACTTTAACCACAATATGTTGCTAGACTTGGTCTACGCAGTGGATGGTTCATATGTGATATATATACAGTGAAAAATTTAATGGTTCTTGCGTGCAAGAAAAATTCGACGTAGTTCACTGGGTAAAACACTGGAATGCGGAAGCTGGTCCAGGCAAGGTTCAAATCCTGGCGAGGGGAACTTTTCAAATTTTTTTTCATTTTTTCTTCATTTTTTTTTTTATCTAATTTTTTTGTGTGTGTTTGTTTGTTTTCCCATTTTATACTTTATTGATAAACAATATTTAATTTATTTCAGTGCTGCTCGCTTTTTCGTTAATAAACGGACTTTCTACTTCGTAGATGACAAGTTTACTTTTTTCGTGTACCCTAAAATCGAGGAATCGTATCACGACTAAATTTCCACACAATGAGTAAAGAAATTGCTGATTCATCATGAAAACGTCATTTCCGAGCCAAAACACTTTTGCTTCAACGTGTCTCTGGAGTTGGTGTACTTAGTGGATGGTTTCCAGGATATAAATATACTGCGGATTAAGCTCATTTCGCACTAAGACATGTTTCTCGCAGCTCAGTAAGGAGAGCATTGGGCCGCTAAGGCGTGTTCAGTCAGGGTTTAAATCCTGATCCGGGGAACTTGTCTTCGATTTATTTCTTCTTTGTAATGTTGTTTTATTTTATCTTATGTATTTGTTGTGTATTTCTTATGTAGAGCGTGAAATGTGTTTGTATCCTGCTCCTTTTGTCGGGAGTGAAAGGACTTTTCTATCCAGCTGATCAAAAATTTACTTTATCCCTATATCCTTAAACTGAAGGAATGCATCTCAACTCGCCCTAATTTCAACACAATGATATAAAACTGTTTGGGTAAATCATAGAAACATCACATTCAAGTCGAAACACGTTCACAATATGTTTCTGGAATTGGTCTATGCAATAGGTGGTACACATGTTTGTACACTTGGTAATTTATCCAGATCCAGTCAGGTTCAAATCTTGGCGAAAGGAACTTTTCTCGTTGTTTTTTTTTTTTTTTTCATCTTTTATCACTTTTTTTATTTAATTATGTGCATTTCTTTGTTTCCCATTTTATATTTTGTTGATAAGTAACGTGCTCGTACGCTGCTCTTTTTTTCTGTTCAGTTCATCGCAAGCTTCCTTTTTTTTTTTTTTCTTACATCCTGAAACTGGAGGAATGCATCACTTTGTTATCGTAGAAACGGTATACAGTATTAAGTCAAACCACTTTTACATCAACTTGTTTCTCTAGCGTTGGCCTATTCAGCGGGTTGTCACATATGTACTAAAAGTTTGTTGGAAATCGCATGAAAGACAAACTCTCCGTGGTTCAGTGGGGAGAGCATAGGGCTGCGAAGGCGGGCCTAGTCAGATCAAATGCTGACCAGGGAAACTTGTCTTCGATCTATTTTTTTAATGATTTGTTTCTATTATCTTTTGTGTATTTGTTTGTTTTCCCATTTCATAATTCGTTGATAAAACCTGAAAAGTCTCTTTTATTATATTCCGAAGTTAAAATAATTTTCGCTCATATGCGATATGTGGTTAAATAAAATTACTTACTTACTTAGAGAGCGTTTTGGTTTAGATTTCTTACTTCAGTTAAATCTATTCCTAGTACCATGGCAACCCACGAAGTAACACGTGAAATGACTTTTTTTTCTCTGCGCTAAAAGGCGTGGCAGCAAAAGGTGTTATAATGGTGACGTATTCATAAGTGATTGGTTAGTCATCTCATTCGATATTCACGCCAATTTGTGAAGTTTTCTTAAAGCAAACACGTCATGAACGAGTAAGGACGTGTCACTGTGAGGTCTCAGTGTTTGTGCCAAGATTATGCAGAATCTGCTTGAAAGTTATCTGAAGGTAAGCATCGCTGCTAGAAAACAAGCCGGAGTAATCTTATCGTTCTTTCTGGAGGGTTAATGAACTAGTCAAGCAAGGAAGAAGAAAGCTTTTGGTTCGCTTCTTGCTTCGCCTTCGTATTAGAAAAATGTCGTTTATCATGATTGAAAAGTAGAGCAAACACTACTCACCTTCTAATCAAGGCTGTGTCAGGATTTCGAGAGAGACTACTCACAATCAGTTAAGTTTCGAGCTGTTGTTTCGAGCTGTTGATTTGAGAAGAATGCGATGAATTTCGAAGGAACATGAAGTGCGAGTAAAACAAAGCCACGTGCACTTCATCTCTTTGGTGGTTGCTCTTCTGAGAGCGCATAAGAATTGTGCAAAAACCTTTAAAATAAACCAGTAACGTGAAAATGAATTTCTTATCAAAAACGCGTTTGGCGATTCAAATTATTCGTTTGACCTGAATTTACTGAGCTCTCCTTTTCTCTTCTAACCTGTTATTAAAAGTTGCTTGTAAATCAGCCAAACACTAAACATTGTTTTATTCATCTCTGCTTACAGGATGACTGAGGTGATGAAGATAACGGCAAAACGAAGAGTTCAAGAGAATAAACTGAAATCAACGAATGCGAAAGAAACTCTGCAAAGATAAGAACTTTGATGTTAATTGTATTCTTGTATAAAAATGGTGGCTGCCTAAATGTCAAGATTGGCTTGTGAACCTCAGCTGATTGAATTGTCTTGTAAAATACTAAAGGGAAACGGAGGAGTAAAAGAAGGCGAGGAGGCATTCTTCGTGTACGACTTGTTTGAGGTGATGGCAGCCACCATTTAAGTTGGATATTTTAAGGTGGCACTGTAAGGTAAATGGCTTTTGAAAGAAGAAATATGAAAATTAAAACACGTACAGATTCTCCTATCAGTTTTATAAAATTAGAACTAAGTATTCGAATTTTCTAAGAAAATGTTTTTATCTTTGATATCACAACAAACATTTTCTGGAAACAAGTCAATGTTCTTGTTTTTGATAATTTTTTATGTGGAGAATTAGGATTCTTAAAGGATAATTGATCTGCTCTTTTGTCAATACAATAATCAGTGCCGCCTTAGATGATTCACACATTTTCTTTGTAGTTTTATTAGTAATAGACAAGAGAACGTTGACAACATAGAATGCTTTGGGAAACTATTCAAAATGAGTTTTCGTCTGATTGGCGTAAAAGGATAGCTACGTCCTTTTCATTTGTTATGAAACAATCCCACTTTGGTGACGCTACGTTAACGATACATTTACCGCCCTACACAACGGCGAAATGACAAAACAGAACACTTAACATTAAGTTCATTTAAAAAGGACGAGAAATAGAAAACATCCTTTTTCAAACCTTACCTGAAACCAACAGATTAATCAGACGTATAATTCTATAATCCGAGATCGCATCAAGTTATAAATATTAAATTCTAAAGAGACGAGTTTGCGAAGTTGGCAACACGCCTGAAAATTTATCCGTCGTAAAGAAAAATACCGTAAAGGTTTTTTTAAAAAGAAAAAAAACTTCAGTTTTATCAGACGAAAACAAAACTCACTTCGACCTTCGGAAACAACCGAAACGGAAGCCAGCTCAACTGCTAAGAGGAATCGTAGCGTAAACAATTACATGATCAATGTCTTCGACTAACGACCCATACTACTGCTTGACGTTTAACCCAAGACTCTAGCTTTTTTCGTGGACTTATTTGGACAGGTGCATGTCTATTAACTTACAACAGAGCACAGATGACATTAAAAATGATTAGCAAGTATAGACAGACAGCTTTCAAAAATACCTGTGGACAAAATAACATAAGAAATGATACGAAAGGAACGACCTTAATTGACCAATGACAAATGATAACGACTGGTGATTCTTGCAGCCAATCATATCTCGGAGAAATGGACCCTGATTTTGGGGGCAAAGAACTGTTCTCTTACTTTCGCATTGACCATTAAATAGCTAATTGAGGAACAAAAAGATTTGGCGAGAGTACCATATAACCCCAACATTAATTATGCATTCAGACTAGTAGACTTTGTTTTCAAAGTTTTGTCGTGACAGACAAAGAAGTGGAATGCATAATTAATGTATGGGGTTATATGGTACTCTTTCCAAAGATTTCCTTAAAAAAACTTATTTGCCCACGTTCTCTTGTCGTTTTGCAAGTTAAGTATTTAAAACCTAAATGTCTGGTTCAGAGGACTGCAGTACATTTTCTTGAAAAGGTATTGCCTAGATAGTTATACAGACCAGTAAAAATTTATCCCTGTATGCAAAAAAAAAAAAGACGACAACAACAACAACAACAATATATCAAACAATTAGAGACAATTTTATCCCTTAAAAACTCTAACTCAAGCAAAACGAAAAAGTGGAAGTCGCGTTAAACTCAACATGTCTTGCATAAGTTTGAAGAGAACAAAAAGTTAAACACGAATTCGGGATAGGCTCTTGTTACCAACGAACTTGAAAGTGTTTTTTTTTTTTATGGAGATAGCATTTGTTTGCATAGACTGTTGTCGTTAAATACGATTCTTTATTGTCAGAACGAATAAAACAAAAATTTTCTTGAAAAACATACCATTGACCAGAACCCTGAAGAGATTTTTATGGATGTAAATTTTCCTGCCTTGAGGAAAGGGATTGATTTGGATCTTTTACTAGTTTTTGGTTTCTATAACTTGTTGCTACGGTTTTTCGCTGAATGTTACATGAATTAAAAATGTTTGTTTTAATAATGTTGTTTGAACCGGACATTGGGTTTTATCATATTCGCAATGTAGAAAGACTTCTTTCAGCCTGAAATTAATGTTACACAGGACTAAAAGAAATTTTAAAGATTTGGTGAAAAATAAAAGGAAAATCAACAAAAATAACTTGTCGGAATAGTTTCAAATACACGATATCGGATTGTCTTAAGCCTTGAAACCAAAGTGAAAAAAACGCGCTTAGCCGGCTGGCCCAAGAGAAAGAGAATTTGAAAATTATTTTGGTTTTAGTAAATGAACTCAAGCAAAATCTTATCTCAGTGACTTCAAAGAAACGAGGACCCAAGCAATTATCCAGATCGTCTGAACCAAAAAAATATAGCTTACTTGGCTCTTAAGAAAGGCTTAAATTTTTGATGAATAAAGGCTGATAGTTTCGAAAGAAACTGTTTGGGGCTGCGTCGGTGGGAGTAACGAAATAATTTGGATATATCAACAAAGTTGAAATGGTAAATTGGCCACCGTAATGATTACAAAAGCTGACGTTTCGAGCGTTAGCCCTTCGTCGGAGCGAATAGAGGAATTGTGGGTTGTGTGTGCTTTTAAAGGCAGAAAATGGAGCTACGTTATTGGTGGGTGCATGTTAGGTGGCACGGAAAGCCGTAAAAATCTTGAACAAAAGCTCATCTTTCAAACCGGCAGTCTAAATCCCACAGGGATCAATGAACGCTTTTCATTCCACTAATTTATTCATGTTTTTCTCGTTGCCATGCACCCACCAATAACGTAGCTCCATTTTCTGCCTTTAAAAGCACACACAACCCACAATTCCTCTATTCGCTCCGACGAAGGGCTAACGCTCGAAACGTCAGCTTTTGTAATCATTACGGTGGCCAATTTACCATTTCAACTTTGTTGATATATTTAAATTTTTGATGATTTGGTTACAAATTTTGATTAGTTTGCGTCAAAGTGTTTCCAGTGTAACAAACAAACAAAATCGACGGCTGAAGAAGGTCTCGTATGTAGCAGCATGGCAAGCTTCACTTAAGTTATTATTTAGTAGTTTGCCTTGTTGCTTATTGCTAGAGTAAGTAACGTGTAAATATCACCTAGTGCAAAAGGAAAAAAATCTAAGACCAAACTTTGTAGGTAAAGGCGATTTGATGAATTTCATAAAAACAAACCCAGAAGTTAGGGCTGTTTAAAAATGCTTAGGAAAAAAATTTTGCATAAGGTGATGTTTAAATATCTTTTGGTGGAAAAATTTAAGGGAGTCCATTTTGAATTTTTGGTCGCAAATGTTGTCAGGGGAAACTCTGTGCAAATCCTCACACATTCTTCATCATTTAATGAAACTCACTTAACTAAATAAAACAATTAACTGATAAAACACTTGTATTGTTTATTGACTGAAATATCGAGAGTGAAAATGAAGATTAGATAATAGAACAGTAAACAATGAGTTTGACTTTGTTACACATTCTACTTAGAAAAACACAGGCGCCCAAAATACGCACGCGCTTTTAAGTCTTTTGGCGGGAAAATTACGCCATTTTGAAGAACTGTTACTTACAGAGTTTCCAAAAATTTAAAAAACCGACGCATGCGTATTTGAAGCGCCCCGTGTTTTCCCTAAGTCTTTTGGCGGGAAAATTAAAACTTTTAAAAAGATAACCTCGATGAAAAATGACTTAATTTACCAAGCGAAAAAAAAAACTACTGAATTACAAGTTACTACAAAATGGTTTGAAACGGAAGTCTGAACGAAGAAGTGTTTTGGTAAACAAAACGCAACGAATTCATCTTGGATTTTACTTGATAAATTCAAACATTTGAGAATTTCTTTTATATCTCGACTCTTGACAAGATTATCATCCTCAGGAGTTTTTGCCTGATTTTGACTTCAGTTGTAGGCCATTCAGCAATCTGAAAGAGTGAAGAACAACCGAATTAATAAAAACATCCAACATTTCAAATTTATATTCATTGAATGCTTCAAACAGCAAATGAACTTGCAAAATTTATCATTTTTCGAGTTCGCTCGAACCTTGCCAAGAATCACATGCAAACGGCCATTAATATCATGCAATTCTTCGTTTTGGCCTTGTTCATTCCCTCTATAATAACAATAACTTGTACAACAACTACATCCCGTACAAGCAGATTGCTGTGAGCCAAGTACAATTAATTATCTTATTTCAAGACGGCTGTGAAGTTTTCTTCGCATAGCAACTAATGCACGAGCCTCAGAAGAATTTGGAAACGATTTTAACATAAATAATGAGTTTGTTTGTCTTTTTGTATATACACATGTACACCACAAAGCAAAATTCGAACGCCTCTTTCTCTATCCATGATATTTTCCCTATTTTTATTTCTATGATAAATTAGATTGATACCAACTTGATACCAACCACTGCTAAGCTGCAGCTGTATAAGGCTGCAGTCTTGCCCTATTTGACTTACTGCAGTACTGTATGGCACTTTTGCAGGGGAAGTGATGCAAGAAAACTGGAGCATGTCCAGGAGAGGGGTCTTAGGGCAGTTTTCCGTGACTGGAACGCTAACTATGGGCTGTTGTTAGAATGGGCTAAATTGCCCACCCTAGTGAACCGTAGATTGCAAGATATAGCGACCATCATGTATAAAGTAAAATTTAAGCTAGCACCAAGCTATATACAAGATTTATTTTCAGCAAATCACACAGTGTATAACTTAAGAGTTAAAGAATTTACTATTCCAAGATTTAACTCCATAAATTATGGCAGGCATTCCCTTAGGTATTTAGGACCTGTGCTATGGGCTAAGCTACCTTCCCGTATTAGGACGTTGAATCCACTAGCGGGTTTTAAGAGGGCAGTTAGAGGAATGGATTTGAAAATGTTAATGGACGATGGTGGCTGTGAGGGCTGCTTGGTTTGCAGTGCATGATTCTTAGTTATATCTTATTTAGGCTCATACTGTTCCTCCCCCCCCCCCCACGTCTTAAGGTCCCCTAGCCTAATTCTGCTGACCACAAATTTTATGCTATTTATTCGTATATTTTATGCTATTTAATCGTATATTAATATTTAGTTATTTATTATTTCATCTAAATTATCTTGTTGTGTCCTTACTTAGTGGTTTTATTACTGCTATTTTATAATTGACACATGAATAAAGTTCATCATCATCATCATCATCATTGTGCCAAAAGGAGGTCTCACGGAATGTCATTAACAATTATTTTCCGTATATCAAATTGATTGAAATTCTCATTTTGTTTTCTATTTTTTCTACTTTTTTTAACAGAAAGGAGACATCACAGCACATCACAGTTCATCAAACGACGTTACATCCTTGTAGATTACCAACAGATTATATCGAAACGTTCTGAAAGTTAAATGCCTAATAGTGTGTATGTTCAAAAAACCGATCCGTGAAAAACATTACGATTTTAACACATCCAGTTGACTTCATTAACAACTCAGACTAAACTGAAAAAGTTGTCAAAAGAGTTATTGAGATATCAGCAAAACTCATTGGCCTAAACCAAGAATGCGTATCCTTGAGTTATCAAACGAGTTTTACGTGGACTGCTCTGCATCCATAATTTTGATACAAATTTGGACGATGGCATGAAAAGGTTTGTGAAAAGAGTTTTGACTAAAATCATGGATGCCTTTCCAAATATACAGCTCAAACTATTACAGATATGTTAGGATCCACTTTAATAAATCATAAATCGATGCCATTGAGCAGTAAACTTTTTAAGTCTAAAACATTTGTGTAACAATTCTTATCGGAAAACGATGTTATGGTAAATAGCATATGCCAATGGTCTTTTTTTAATTGTACAGTTTCATTGCACTGGTGTTTTTAATTTTTTTGACCTTTCAGTAATTTTTCTTCCGACTTGCTTTTAGTAAATTTTCAAGTTAAAAAAAGATCTAAAAATGTTGCTTAAACCCCTTAAGCTGATACGGCAATTCTACATGCAATGCAATGCAATGCATGCACCGACTGTGACCAAATATCAAATTAGTGTTAAAATAATTACATCATATAGAGCAATTAACTCACCTAATTAAATAACTTCTCCTCCCTCGTCTTTCTTTTGATTCTTTTCATCTCCATTTCCCGTTGTTGCTGATTTTTGCCTTTGTTTTTCTTGAGTTCAACATCTGCCTGATGAAAGATGATTGCAAATTGAGTATATTGAAAAACACGAGAACCAACTTAAATCAAGTTTGTGGATGGCTTCTTTTTTTGCTTTTTTCATGTGGAGTTGGGAAGGATATCAGATGGGTAAAAAGGATGAAACTGTTTTGCTCAAAATGGTTTCATTCTTCTTACAAATCTGTTCTTTGGTTGGTTGATTACTGATTGATTGGCTCATTGATTTTATCGCTCGATTTCGTTTGTTTCCAAATTCTGAAAGAGCCTCAACCATTCGACTTCCAAGATCTCTATATCAATTCCCCTTACTGTCCGACATAAATTTCTTACAAATCTTGCTTTGAGAATCTGGTGTTTTGCCTGGTTGATAGCTGGTTTTAAACAGTTAGCTGGCCGGCCAGCTAACCAACCAGCCAGTCAGTCAGTCAATCAATCAATCAATCAGCCAGTCAGTCAGCCAGCCAGCAAGTCAATCAATCAGTCAATCAATCAATAAATCAATCAGTCAGTCAGCAAGCTAGCTCAGGGAGCAACTTGTCAGTTGTTCTCTCGGACGTCGGTCGGTAAGTCAGCAAAACAACACCTTTCATACTGCTTTTAACAAGTCTTTTGGTAAACCTTAAGAAAATCTCATCAACAGACATACCAAAACTCAGTTTTGAAGGCCTAACAGCACAGAAAAAATGATGGTTCGAGCAGCTAAAGCTATCTTGACTTAAAGAGAAATAACCTCAGAAGAGTAAATAAATTACGACCTGGAAATGGAGCCTTCGTACATACTTCGTATATTCACAACCTCCTTTCAAACGTAGAAAACTAATAAGCAGAAATAATGCAACATCTAATATAAGTTCACTAACAGGAGGTTTACAAGAGGTTGATTAAAACAAAATATAAATGCATTTGACGGTAATTTCAATTTACCTTCCCAGTAGAAGTTTCCAATGGGCGTTTAACTTTCTTTCATTTGTCCCTTCCGACGTCCCACGAAAGCATTTCATCCGTCCAAACTGAGAGCTATGTACAATGAAAGTACCAAAGACGAGTACAGGCGAGTGTGGAAATGTTGACAGAGGTTGATTTCTCTACCACAGCACTACGTTTAAATTAAGCTTCGGTCGCCATTTTCTCCCTCGTGTGAAAATACACATGACAATGGAATAACTAAATTTGAATGAGGGACAATAATCTGTGACTTATGAATATTAAACATTTTTCGCTCAACCACGGACCAATACCTCAGAGCCTCTGGGAAATCTTAAGTGAGTTGACACCAAGGTATCTGGCAAACGATACCTATTAAAATAAAGTGTCTCCCTGCCAAAAGCTTTAAAAAAGAATATAAACTCTTCCTACTTGGCAGGCAGACATCTTGAACAACTTTAACCTATCATAGAGCTCTATTTTAATATTGTAACTATTTAGTATATGTGCTATCTCCTTAAGCGTAGTTAACTTTCACCCATCCGTAACTGCTCTGTGGTAGTGGCCAACTCGAAAGCTTGGCTCCTTTGGCTACTACACACTCTTTCCACTGCTTTGTGTAAATTCATGTATAGTTAGAACTCTCTTTTTTTTTTTTTTTCTACTTTTTCTCTTTCTCGTTGTTGTATTTTAAGTAGAATAAGTGTGAATAAAAGAATGAAAAAAACAAGTGCGAAAAGGAGAACTGATGAGGAAAATTGGCTGATCTTCTGAGACGAACTTCCCCGCATTATGAGGGCTCAACAAATGGTCAAACAACAAACCCATGGATTGGATGTTTACAAGGTACAAAAAATTACTATGTTCCCCAAGGTAGGATTGGTTCCTCGGCGAGATTCGTTTCCGCGGTAAGAAGGTTTTACCAATGAGAGGTTCTATGCTACGTCATCAGCCGCCCCCTCCATACTTAAGCGAGCAGATATCACGTTTCACAATGCAATGATTACGCAAATTAAAAAACCCTCGTTTTGCAACAGGCAGCAACATAAGCAGGGATCTCTCTTTGATATACAGTCATCATTTCTAAATGAGGAGCAGAGTAACAAGAACGATGCGTTGGGTCAAATATTTCATGTTCTTTTTCAACGTCTTGTTCTGGATTACCGGTGTTGGCCTTGTGGTGATAGGCTGTCTTAGAGAGCTTCTATATGGCGATTACAAAAACATCACACCAACGGGTTTCACCTCTGCCTCTCTCATCCTCATAGGAGTAGGGTCTGTTATTGGTCTGCTCGGCATTGCTGGTTGTTATGGCGCAATCAGAGATAATTACTTCATACTGAAGTGTTTCTCGTATTTGTTGGTCTTGCTGCTGATCGCCGAAATCGCGCTAGGCCTGTGGTTGTACTTAGCCCATTTTAGTATACATAAATTTCTTCAGGATTTTCTCAGCAACATCCTCAGCAAGTACGAAGATGACACGGATATACAAGAACTGATCAATAAATCCAGCGGGAACACGAGTGCTGTGGGTCAAAAAGCTACAAAGACTGGTTCCACTCAGATTGGAACGCTCAACGCCAAAACAAGAACGTGTACTATTGGGTGAATAATGTTCCGCGATCTTGTTGTTTATAAAACACAACAAATTTAGAGGGCTGTGGAGACGATTTAGACACTGCCAGAAAACAAGCTGAGAAGTTTGTCCATACCGAAGGCTGTCTGCGGTTAAAACCGTTCTTCTCGAAGCACTTGACCTTTATGATTTGTCTTGGCGGAGGGGTCATAACATTACATGTGCTGGCGATTCTGTTTATGTGTTGCCTCATGCGCGCGATCAAACATTCGAACCTGCTTCACCAAGTGATGGAATCCTATTCACTTCGACTTAAAATGGTGTAAGAATGGCAGCATTATGCCTCAAACAATTTCTACTGATGTCTCGCAATCTTTAAAAGACCCACAACGGACGGACGTTTCTCGAATGACAGGAATTATTGATTATTACTAGGACATAACAATGAGTGACATTAAGTAAATATTTATTTGCAATGATTCATCAGTGACTTTCATCAATGAAACAAGAAGTAGCGATAAGTCAAAGGGCCTTATTTGATCAAGATGAAATATGACTCTAAGAAATGACTATGCAATATGTATTCTTCAGTTATAAAGTAATAGGCATTTAAGTGAAAGCTGTCACCATTTTTTAAACGTTGGGTTAGGACTATCTTTCATGGTTACATTTTTTGTAAATCTGACAAGAAATAAGTCAGACATTTGCTGGTAACATAGCTATTTCAAGCTGAACTGTCATAAAAAAGTGTTGAGTGTTCATGGCCGGTCTAGCAAGAGAACGAAAAGTACATATCCTCTTTCCTCTTGGTATGCTTCCGATATGACTGAGAGATGGTTTAGTCAGATTGCAATATTTTCCTTTCTTTTCAGAGACTATGAGTTACCTCCGCGGCATCAACAATGCTTGGGTGACAAGTTTTTAGTCTTCATCGCTATCTGCTGCAAGCACTTCACCTTCTAACGCACCCTGAAGGGAAACGAAACAAAACACGTAAGTATCATCGCCAGAAAGAAAAGATAGTCTTTCTCAAATGTATAAAAAGTAAAGGTTTAACACTTTCACTAACGGATCGACAATAATCCTAGCATCTTCTGCGAACGACTGCGAAAGGAGAGTTATTACTTCCCAACGCGACTTAAGAAGGCCATAGTTAACTATGTGAAGGCAAACTGGTAACCAGAAAGCCAAGCCCACCGATGTTGTCTTGACAGTCTTGAAACCAGGCAAGCAAAAAAGAGCATAAACCCAGACCTTTTTTTTTTTCATTTTCGGAAACGACCTTCTCGTAAATAAGATTATATGGTTCCATCAACTGAGTTGATAATGGAAATTTGCCTCGGTAAAGAGTTTCTAAAACTTTCATATCGAGCGTTAGCCCTTTGCGATTGGCTCTGACGAATAGAAGCTGTTACGAAAAATAGTGTTGCGTGACATGCATGACCTTCTGGAAGGTTCGCGAAAGGTTGTTTATTTTAGCGCGGCTTTGCGCGCGTGGGGCAGAGCCCCCATACCTATGGTCAACCTCTTTTCGTTTGGTTGTCACGTGACTGACCGAGCGTACGTACGTACGTACGTGCCTTCAGATTGCATGGGTAAGGTAGGGGAGACTATCAAAACGAAGGGAGGGGTGTCTCAGGCGAGTCTTGGCAAATGCACATCTTTTATGTTATCATTAATATTACGAACTTGAGAGCTCCGCTTTTAGGCTTGGCTATTTGTATATTATGTACTCGTTTCTAAAAGCGGTATATTTTGTAATGTTGCTATAATTAGACCTTTTTAAAAAAGTTCTAGAATTTTATCGCGTAAGAATATAAGTAGGATAGGTTAAGCGAAGTTTTAACTAAGTTTTCACAAGCGAAAAAGAGTTGATCATGATCAGTCAAGTGTGATCATGTGACGAGGCAGTGTTTGTCGAATTTGGTGGAGACCGTGAGTATTTTCAAGCTGATCGAAGTTGGCGGAGGCCGTGTAAGTTTTCTAAGTTACGTGCTAGTGTAGAGTTTATCAAGTGGAAACTACCTTGATTTTGGAATAAATCTTCTTGTTGCTGCTCCGACAACCCTGCGTTCTGTTTAGACTGCAAATCACCTGCCACTCAACCATCGAACTCGTAACAGAAACTTGCTCCCGTTAACTACTTCTTGTAAACAGTAAGACAGCTAACAGGTGCTATGACAGAGAGCAAAACGAAAGAACTTCGAGAGAAATCTAAGGCGAACGCGATGAAAGATCTCATCCGCAGAGATTCTGTCGAACGAGCAACGAACCTACATGTATCTCGCACAACTTAGCACCATGGAGTCGATAGAGGGCACATCGAAATTATGATTTCAAAGTCAATCGTGTGCAAAAGGAATAATTTCTAGACTCAATTCAGAGCACATAAAAAGGTCTCACTCCCTGACTAAAGTAAATCCATTCGTAACAAATTAAAGCAGTGAAAACTTACTTGCTGTTTAGAAGCGGCGAAAAACATAGATTTAAACTGAAACGAATAAAACAAAATTTGTGAAAAGGGTGAAATAAAATAAAGGAAAATAAAATAAAAAGTTGTTTTTCCAAGATCTGATAGGGATAACTTTCTTACATTGATGTCAAGTGTTAATAGTGGGTTTTTTAAATAACAGTGAATGATATTTTAACACAAACTACCTTTTTGTGGGGCGGAGTTCCCGGAACAAAATCATAATCTTCATCAGCATCTACATCCATCAAGCTGTCATCAGGCACCACTTGACGTCTCTTTGTCTTTTTGTGTCCACTTGGATTTAACGAGTTGTCCTCAGAGCTGATACAACTGTCACCCAGGGAGGGCTGATTGAAAATATAAAGTTAAATTAAAATTACTTAGTCTTGATAACATCACGAAAGGAGGGCAAGTGATCTGTACATGGTTCACGGAGGTTTCGTTCCTTTGCAAGTTCTCTCCTTGCCAGGGATAACTACTTCGTCCCCACCGATAACAGGGACGAACTCGTTAAAGTGGAGGGAAACTCTCAGGAAGCCAACTTGCAAAGGGGTGAACCTTCCAGATACCATTGAAATATACTCACGGCATTTTGAGAGAAGCGTTTCCTCTCCCCCTCTCCCCCAAGAAAAAGAAATACTGGCCTAGCCTGAGTCAAATTGAACTGCTACGTTACGGAGATTTACCCAATACATTCCTGTACAAGACAAACGTAGTCTATCACTTATAGTCTTACCATGTCCAAATTCTTCATAAATGATACATCTGGAGGGAACAAGAGGAAAATATTATTATGATATTTGCTATACGTGGGATTGCACGTACATGTACAGCATGAGTAATCTTCACAGACTGTCTATAGCAGTAGCATCAATGTACACAAGAGGTGATATAATACAAAGTAATGATGAGCACTAAATTGTCCTCTGACAATGTTATATGACATCTTGATACACCTGAGCCGCGTATGTCCACACCACACACCTCAAACATAACCCCAAGGGTGTGGCTAGGGGGGGGGGGTGCCTGTGACTCCTCTTTGGAAAAAAAAGCAAATAACTCACAATAGAGAAGCAACCTAATCCTTCCTGCAATCTTGTAAACTGCTGGACTGTTTACATAAATCACGGCCTACTCCCTTTTTCTTGAACTGGCTCAGAGTGTGCGGAAATATTGCGTACGGTAAACGAGAATATATTATGAAGGGCTTACCAGTTGAATAAATTCCTGCAGCATATGAATATAGGCCCTACAGAGCCCTAAAATAGCTATGGAACACTGATAATTACGGGATTTATTAAAGAAAAGTATTAATTTTTTCATACCTGTAACTGAACTGGGTGGGGTCTGTATGGGTCGAGCACTACCACGGCTGCACATCAATTAAGGAAAAGCACACATTATGATAGAAGGATTTGTTTTTTTAGAAAGCAAAAAAAAAAGGTCATTTCATAGTTTCTGACAAGGTACAAGAAAAGCTAAACAAACATTTTAAACACCTTTTCTCAAATTTTAAATAATTTTAACGTTCTTATAGGTAATAAACACCTAAGCTGGAGTTTGAACTTTCAAAGGATACACAGAAGTGTTAGCACTTTCCTGACTGGCCTCAGGGATGACTGAAAGATCTTTCTTCCCAGTTCTAAACACATCTGTAACACAGACGACAAGAAACTCAATTGGATAATACACCATCGTGCACGCGGTCTCAATCTCTTCATTCTGTCTATTGTTTGCTCACATTGGCAAATGTTTATTTTAAGTTATAAAGGTTTCAAATCAATTCACAGGAAGTTTTCCACAATTCAAGAACTGATCACATCTTGACATGGATCCTAAAGGTTGGACTAAGTGAAGGGACAGAAGGAATTGTTTAAAATAAATTTCAGTTCAAAGATATTTTAAACTATAGCTGGTTTTGATATTTCTTCTCTCTACCCCAAGTACTTTATCAAAGGGAATTACAAAATTATTCAAACTACTGGTATAGGTTGAATTAATTTTGAGCAAAATTAAACAGAACAGAAATTAAATTGAACAGAAATTATTTTAAAGTACAACAGGTGTGTAGCTCAAGATTGTAATTTTTCAAAAGATGGATAACTCTATTTACCATGGCAAGTTTAATTCCTCTCTGGCAGGGAGCATATGTTTTGCCAAAACTTACCAATAACAAAGCAGTTGGATACCACTATCTTAGTTCTTTTTTACCTTGATAAGGAAATGAGTCACTAAAGAAGTCATCCAGAACTGATTTACTGGCATCTTTACTTCTATGATAACAAAAAACAATACAGTGAGATTATCATTTATTGCAAATCTGCAGCATAAAATCACACCTCAGAGGCACCACCATTAAAATTAACATCATGATCATCATCATTTGTCAAACACTGAGTGGAACTTAGGGTTCTTCACTCACAAGTTTTACAAATACCTTCCAAATACACAGTCATATGAGACAGTCATGATGTTCACAATATTCACACAGTATGACAGTCAAATACCTTTGGCTTGTCACCTCTGCGGCTGTCTCAGAATCCCTCTGACCTTTCTTGTTATCAGCTTTTCCTTCAGTACTTTTAGATTGCACTGGAACTTTACCATCACACAAGACTTTATCAGTCTCTGTCATGTCCATGTCATCATCATTATTGCCTTCACTAAACATGGACTCATTGTAATGATTGTTGGTCTTGGAGTTCTGCACTGTGTTGTTATGTGACCTGGCACCAACTTTCTGTTTAACATGATCAGGCTTTGTTGTTGGATCTGTTTTTGCAGAGCTGAGAAGAACAGCAAATTAAAAAATCGATCTGCACACAATTTTTTGGGATGTATTGAACAAGGCTGGCCTTCAAATTATCAAATGATTAATTTGTCAGATCTTGGGATTTAAAAATGTTTAAATCTTAAAGGGTTTTTTCAACTTTCTCATCCATTGTCATACATGTATTCTGCATGGGATGAATGATTTTCCAAATTGTAAGAGTGAAATAGTTCATATTTTTGAATATTCTTTTTTTTTAATTTTCTCACCATTTGATATCCTTGTCTTTTGGAACTCTTTTAGCCAATGTGCAGGGTGCTGCTGTGACAGATGCTTGAGATGATTGGGTGGAGGACTGGTGATCAACTAAAGTTGCCAGTACAAAGTCAGCTTCATAAGTTGAGTCTCCATCCATACTGAACACTATGGGTCTGAAGAAAAATTTCTCAGTGAAAGATAGCTCCTTATAATCTGCACCCAAGTTTTCTAGGTTGGAAATATGCAATCTGATCAAAGGTGTTTTGGGTACAAAGTGACTCTTTGGGAGAAAAGTGCAACCTGATGCTTCTTTGCATTTTCATTAATACATTTAATGCAGGAAAACACATTTGTGGGTTATACCACTGGAATTGACAATTTGGCCTGTGAGGGTTTAAAGTAGCACTCCTCTTTCAACTGTCACTGTTATCCATAGTCCGTTTAAATTGTATAATTTCAGATTTTCTGGTGATATACTAACCTTCCACTGGTTTCAAAATGCATATTTATTGGTTGACTTGCAAACTCAGCAAATGTCAAAATAGCCTGCAATAAAAGAAAGCTAAAATGTTAGTTTTAAATATTGACATCAATGACAAGCATATGCAATCAGCTTTCCTGAAACAAATGTAAATATGACCAATATGACAAATATGAATTAACCTATTTCATAGTAAAGATAGTAGTTCTAAGTCTTGTCAAAATAAATCTGATAACTAAGTTCAGCTTCTACATTACAAATTTTTTGGTTACATAATTACCCTTAGTTCCTTGAGACAAAATGTAACCTCTGTATCAACTCCAATTTGATAGTTATCAAACTCTTCTGGGACCAGCATCATTTCTGTGTGTATGACTCGATTTGGGTCTGTAAAGAAAGAAGGACACATTTAGCTCTATGCCACAATACTGATGATCACT